AAAAAAAAAAAAAAAAAAAAAAAAAAAAAAAAAAAAAAAAAAAAAAAAAAAAAAAAAAAAGGAAAAGAATAATAATTTCGTTGATTAGTCTTTCCAGACAGGAATAATTCCTTGTGCAGCCAAACGTTTCTCAATCCAAAAAACTAAAAGCTTTGCTGTAACTTTCTTCTCATCCACCAGAAATGGCTCAACAGAGCTTCCTCCGTTGCCATATGAGGATAGTGAAAACCCTTTTGGACCTGTTCCAACAAGATTAGACAATGAGTTTTAGATGTTTTTTTTTCTCTTTTTTTTACTCATAAGTTGCAATATTTCTAAACACATTTTATAAATGTTTCAAAATTATCCTTTGAAGTAGAAATCCGTTAAAACTATAGATGGAAATTTAGACCTAGATAGGTGTAGCAATGCTAGCGTGCTAATTTTTATCCAAGCTCACTGCTATGCTGTCCTAAATCTCAATTTTCATCTAGTAATTTAATAGATTTCTACTTGAATGATAGTTTCTGATATGTTCATCCGTAGTAGATATTTTCGGCTTTTCATAAGATTCTGATAATTTGTACTTACTTACATTCACCATTTTTGTATTTGACGAAAGGCAGTGAAAACCAGAAGCTAAAGGGTGATGACAATGATAAAATAGTTACGTTCTCTAAGAAGAATTTAGTACCTGTGAGGCCATTGGGGAAGAAAGCCCAAAATGAGTAGGGAACTCCATTTTTCGAGAATGAACCATCCAACTGCCATTGTCAATCCAGATTCAATGAGCTGAAGCTAAGAGTTTATTAGTGAACGTTAATTGGGATGGAAGAAACTAACTCTGTCATCTTGGAACGATAACTCGATATCAGCAACATCGGCTTGTGCTTCAAGTATCGCTTTGAGTGAAGGTATGACATCTTCCTCCATCATTTGAGGCAGTGGCTTCACTGGCGCTTTTGCTGGCGGTTTGGGCTTTGCTGGAGCTTCCTTCTGAACTGCCTTTATCTCCTTTGGCTCCGCAGAAACTGATAGAAAAGACTTCTACTTTAGCAGATGCCATAAATTGAGTATTAATAAACGCAGCAGAAAGAAACAAATAAACCCGAGCATGACCCTTTTCATGTGGAACAGAAGAAAGGTAACCTAAGAAGCATAGACATTTTAGTTTGGCTAGCGTGTCCGTATCCAACATATGTCAGACATTTGGACACTCCAACACTTGTTCGACACATGTTGTATACTTGTTAGCAATAGACAAGTTCAATACCGGTCCAATATTTGTTAGACACGTATTAAACACTTGTTAATTATAATGAAAATACACCTAATAAAAGAGGACAAAAACAATAAGTTTTGAGCGTGAAATACATTCAACTCATTTTTTTAGCATACAAATGAAAAAAACTTATTGACATTAAATTTACTTTTCGTATAAAAATGATGTATATTAATAAACACGTTTTTATTTACTTTTTGTATAAAAATGATGTATATTAATAAACACGTTTTTCTCCATATCCATGTTCTAGATTTTTTTAAAATGACGTGCCATTGTGTCGGTGTCATGTCTATCAGTATCTATGCCTCTCAGGGGCACTCTGTCAATCTTTCAGTGGTGTACTATGAAAGACTTGCCAGCAACTAACCTGTTGGGGTAGATGATTCCTGCAAGGTAGAGCAGCATATGACTCTGCGTTCAGCTAGAAGCTTATGTACCTGCACAAGTCAACTTAAGTTATATCCACTCTTACCGGTAAACTAAATTTATGAAATGAAGAGCAGGATGCTATCTGTAAAGATGAATAAAGATGACAGATCCCAACTATAACCATAAAAGCTAGGTGATACTATCACTCCACTGCTCCAGTAGATTTTTGTATACTAAAAAGTACTGGCTTGAACTCATGCGTTCTTTCTGGTATGGCAGGCATGCAACAAGATCATGGATGTAGGAAAAACTTGTGTCTAGAAACAACAAAAAAAGAGATACTCGAGGCAGAAACTATGGCTCAACCATTCTGTTGTTCTTTGCCACTACCTACCTACCACATCACGGACTCGAGCAAGGTGGTTTGGAACTTAGGCATAAGTGTCTCATATTTTAAGTCTGAATCTGTGAGATCCCACATCGGTTGGAGAGGGGAACAAAACACTCTTTATAAGGGTGTGGAAACTTCTCCCTAGTAGATGCATTTTAAAACCTTGAAAGAAAGCCTAAAAGGGAAAACCCAAAGAGGGCAATATCTGTTAGCGGTGGGCTTGGGCTGTTACAAATGGTATCAGAGCCAGACACTGAGCGGTGTACCAGCAAGGACGCTGGGCCTCCAAAGGGGGTGGATTATGAGATCCCACATCGGTTGGGGAGGGGAGTAAACGAAACATTCATTATAAGGGCATGGAAACCTCTTCCTAAGAAACGCGTTTTAAATACTTTGAGAGGAAGCCCTTTAGGGAAACCTTAAAAATGACAATATCTGTTAGCTGTGGGCTTAGGCTATTACAGAATCTCTTCTTCTATATTTATAATGTAATATTCTTAATCTATGTACACATGAATGCTACCTATAGCATCATATTACCTTCCAACTTTCCATCTAGTGGAGTGATTTGAAGGTATGGTTACCTTCCTCTTTATCTCATGGGTCCATTTTGAACTCTCATACATTTTTTTCCTCCACTAACTGAATCTTCCCTCCCCAGATCTCTCTCTCTCTTGTTCATGACTCTGCCCCCAGTTGAAACACTGTTAAGAATTCATCAACTTTAATTTTTTGGTTCAATTATGATTAATCATGATGGTATTAGGGTAATAGATCCTATATTTCGAACCCTTACAAAGTCATTTCATCTACCACTAATATTGGTAACTATTTGTTTCACTTCGTGCCAATATCCAAGCCTACATGTAAAAAGAAATAATAAGAACATGAATTAAAAACTAAATTTATTGGAACTTAACCTTTAGTGTTCAATGATGATATAAAAAATTCAAATGCTGAAATAGTTTTTAGGTACAAATAATTTCAAAGTCCTAATAGTATTTTTCTCTTCTGGAGTGGGACCTGGTTTATTTTCGGATTACAATTCCAAATCATGTTGCTAATCAATCGGTGGATACCGTAGTTTTGGAACCAAAACTAACAAACACGTTGATTCTAGGGAGAATTTTAAGCTTCGTTTTCCTCTTTTCCTCTCCTTTTACTCGAGCACTTGACATCTAAGTCAGAAGAATATGACCAAGTAAAATCGACTACGAGTTTCTAAGAACTATGCCATAAAAGAGAGTTCGAAACTTGAAAAAGGTAAAACAGTTAAAACGCAATCAAGTCAGGAATAAATTGTACGTCTATTCATAGCAGAATCAAACCAAGAATAACAGAATAAGAACCAGAAATGAAATCAGAATCGGAATAAGAACAAAACGAGAAAACATACCGTGTGAACCGAGAATACTGGGGAAGGTTTGGAATTCTGAGGAAAGTAAGTAGCAGTTGAAACTCCAATTCCGCCTCCTCCTTTGAGAATCATTGCCATCTAAAACGCTACCGAGGAGAGGGATTAAACTTGCAGAGAAGATCACAGGGCAAGAACTTTGAGTACAGTTTTGAAGAGTTTGATAGTGAAGATTAGAGGTTCATAGCGGTGAGATGAGAATCGTTGGTGTAAGGTAGTTGACAACAACGGCAAAGGGAATGCTTCTCATTCTGCGCTACAAAGTCGAAGCGCGCGGATTTTTGTGATCCACTCGCGCTAATCGGAACAATTTCTGCCACTGCTTTTTTTTTTCTTTCTTTTTTTTTTCTCCTGTCCTTTTTCTATTTTCATTTATATAAAAAACTGATTCAAATTTATAAAATAACTTATTTTTAGTTATGATTTAAAAATCTATTCTAAAAAATATTCTTAAAAGGAAATAAGTTAATATTAATGCCCTAATCATGAGGGATTCGTCTGTGACGCTTTGGGACAGTGTCCCAGATCCCTACAAGTAGAGGACGATCAAATCCGCTACACTCACCCGTAACCCTGATACTGAATCGACTTTAGACTAGCTTTACATTACAAAATACCCCTTGGATAGTTCGAGGGAAGAACCCAGAACCCAATCTACGACCAAATAGCAACTCCTACGTAAGCATACACACTGAGAGCAGAACTCAAAGCGAGAATAGCGCCCCTGACCTACATTACCATTCTTGTAGATCCGGGCGTTGCGGGGTTGTTTTGCAAGATCTCGCTTTCACTTCGTAGAGTGGATCAAAGATGTGTTCAACTTGGTTCGTTGGTTCATTTCATTGTCTTATATTGCCGCTTACCACCACCTTATTAGTCAAAGGATAGCTTGTACGCCTTAAAAGTCTCGCTTACTCCAAAGAACACACATTTCAAACTCTTATCCTCAAGTTTCTTCCTTTTCTCATCATGAACGTGTGCATACGTTATGCACCCAAAGATTCTAAAGTGGTCTACCGCAGGCTTCCTTCGGCTCCATGCTTTTTGTGGAGTCATATCTCTAACAGAGAAAGTAGGGCTTTCGGTTGAGAATGTGCACTGACCACAAATCGTTTCTGGCCATAATTTCTTCGAAACTTCTCTTTATTTACCAAACTTTGAACCATGTTAAGAATGATTCTGTTCTTCCTTTTGGCCACACCACTTTGTTGTGGTGCATATGTTATGTGGTGCATATGTTACTGTCAACTTACATAATTAGAGATTCTATTAATATAATTTTAAAGTAAACAAAAATCTTAAAATATATTAATAAAATATTATATTAATATAATTTTAAAACTCAAAATTTGTAATATGAAGATCATATTGCACAATTGAGATATCTTGATTCATATCAAATATGATGGTCTAATCTACTCTAATACTTAGGTCGTTGCTTAGATGATAGTCGTACATTATGGTGCATCATATGAGATCCCTCGTATTGATACCACTTATGCCTCATTGTGTCCTTGTTCAAGGCCGTATACGGTGGCATAAGAAATTAGAGAGGATAGAGAGACGTGTCTTGACTTTGTTACTGCCAAACTCGATAAGTCGTTTTGCTCATCAAAGCTCGAATCTACGTAGCTTCTCATAGAGCCTTACGAGGGGAACTATTATTTTTTTGTCCACGTGGCACACCGAGAGGACACTATGTGGTAGTGGGTCATGAGTGTTGTGAGATCTCACGTCTGTTGGAGAGGAAAATAAAACATTATTTACAAGAGCGTGAAAATCTCTTCCTAACAGATGCATTTTAAAACCGTGAGACTGATGACAATATGTAATGGGCCATAGCGGACAATATATATTAGTGGTGGATTTGGGTTGTTACAAATAGTATTAGAAACAGTCATGGGGCAGTGTGTTAACAAGGACACTGGCTCTCAAGAGGGGTGAATTATGAGATCCTACATTGGTTGAAGAGAAAAACGAACAGTCACCGAGTAGAGTGTCAGCGAAAATGCTAACTCCAAGGGGATGGATTGTGAGATCACACGTCGGTTAGAGAGGATGTGTAAAAGAAAAGAGAGAACCTATATATCTTATTGATGCGATTGACCGACTCATTCATAGGCACAAGAAAACAAATCGTTCCAGTTGACTAAGGAAAAGTCGTATATTAAAAAATTGAAGTCAATGAAGAAAAGCTGAAAGTCAAAGGCTTTACGAGCTGGAATGGCACAGGAAATGGTAATCTTGTTGTTCCAAAGACTCCAAGAGCCAACAGAAATAAAGCACATTAAATAAGACCAAGAATGCTTCTTCTTCTTCTTCTTCTTCTTCTTCTTCTTCTTCTACTTCAACTCCTTTATTTATTTATTATGCTCTGCGTTATTAATTAGTTCCATTAACACACATTCAACAATAGAGAGGGAAAGAAAATGGAAAGAAGAAGAAGAAGAAGAAGAAGAGAGATGGCGTTGATTTTGATGCTGCTTTGGTCGTCTATGGTGGCTTCTTTTGCTTTCAAACAACTTTTCACAACAGGTTATTTTCCTCGTACACAACTGTTGTATGTTTTTTTAGTATAAAAATTGAAAGGATGAGGGATCGAACCTCGGATCTCAAAAGAGTAATGTTCATGTCAATTTTTGTTGACAAATTTATATAATTTATTTACTTACTGTAGATATTGCTGAATTTCAAGAAAGTGAGCATAGGGAAAAGTATGGTAAAAATGGCGTTGTAATCCCAATGCACATAGTTATTGGACTTGGTGGCGGAGGAGGATCCGGTGGAGGAGGTCGTGGTGGCAGTGGAGGAGGATCCTCAGGAGGAGGACGTGGTGGCGGAGGAGGATCCCCAGGACGAGGTCGTGGTGGTGGTGGGGGAGGATCCGCAGGAGGAGGTAGTGGCGGCGGGGGAGGATCCACCGGAGGAGGTAGTGGTGGCGGGGGAGGATCGGAAGGAGGAGGTCGTGGTGGGAGAGGAGGAGCTCACTCTGGCACAGGAAATTGGCATCAGAACTCCATGAGGTTCATAGTAGCTGGAGTTTCGTCATCAGTTGCATATTTATTTAGACATATTTGAATTTGATTATGAAGACATATATACTCAAAATCATGAATAATTTGTTTGATAAAAGAAGCAAAATGGAGGCAATGGGACGGTGTCTAATTTGTTTGATTGATGTATTATGTATGTAATTTTGTGTTCATATTAACTCATTCTTTGGTTTTGGCTGGTGTTTTGCGATTCTACCCCTTTGTTCGACTCTAATTTTATTAAATACATGTTTGAATTTAAGTTTGGTGAGTACACGTCGGGGGTAAACAAATTAAACTAGGTTGAATTGGAAAAATCTTTTCGTTAGTGATATGAGTAATTTGAATAAAGCTCACAACCTAACTCAACTTGGATCGAGGTGGGTTGAATCCGATCGGTTGAATTAGTGACCCGAACAATTTAAATAGAGTTCACAAATTAGATTGGGTTGAATTGGGTTGGGTTGTTAGATTATTTTTTTTTCCTTCTAATTATTGAAAAAAATCATATTTATGTACCATACACATTACATTTTGATAATTATAATAAACATTGATTAAAAATATTAAATATTTGTAATCTTCGTGATAAACTTAAAGTAGGGTAGGGTTGACTTCAACTTTGTTACTCTATTATTAGTCCAACAAAAATAATGTTACTTTTCGACATGAATTTGAGTTAAAAAATTCAACCCAGCCCAAATTGAAATAATAAATAACTAAATAAATTCACCCAACTCAACTTTTATAATTTTGGTTGAATAGTCCAAATTAATCGAGTTCTTGGATCATATCAAATGAAATCAACCACAATTGTGTATTACTAACGGTTAAAATATTATAAATAATAATTACAAAGCTACTAACTTCCTCACAAATTAACCAAAATAGTTTAAGTAATTAATTTTAATTAATTAAGAATAGTTGAGCATAACAAGTTTCACCCAAATTTCATATATTGAGAACAGCAAACAAAACAACATCTGGAAGTAGTTTAGAGACATCAACCAATAAGACATCAAAATCAGACAAGATCAAATCAAATCAGATCTAAGATCGCCAGCCAACTAGAAACCAAAACCAAAATCAAAATCAAAATCAAACTCGAGATCGAGATCGAGATCGCGATCCAGACACCAACTGAGAAAAGGTTTCAGAATCATGGAAGAAGAACAGAAACCAAAGTTATCCTATTCAGTTTTGATTGTTATCACTCACAATCAAACAACAGTTAAACCAGAAGAGTAGAAACCGTGTCCTGAAGGGGCCTTCTTTCAGCAATAGTTTCAAAAAAAGATTCGAGTTCGTGTTTCTTTTTAAAAGGATGTCTTATTCTAACCACTCTTGTTCCGTGTCCGTGTTCGTGTCCTTAAAAGAGATAAGATAGCTTTAGTGGATCAAAAGAAGACTTCCCTGCCATTTTGTATAGGTATATCACACCATTCCTAACAGCCATATACAGAAGGATCTAGATAACACAAAACCCACCTGTTTCTATTACTATGGGAAGAAGAAGGGAGCTAAGCTTGATGTTCTTGCTGTTTTGTTCTACCATACCAGCCATTTCATCTGCTCGCCAACAACAAATCCTCCCAACAGGTAACTATCCTTTCCAATCTCTCAACTAAGATTCAATTCACACAATTCTTCACAATTCTTCACGATTCTTCTCTTTATGTTAATATCCTTTCCAATCTTTCGATCAAAATTCATTTTTTAGTGTATCGTTCTAAATACTATTCAATGAGTTCATCACAATATGGCTGTCGTAATAACCGTCAAGAAGTAATACTTATCAGACACATTGTGACAACCTAAACTAAAAGGATCATAAGTTTGCCTTTATTCTCTTTTCTTTAGAGGTGTAAAGGAAGCTATCAGAACAACTATGAGAGGAAAAGGTAAATGTAGAATACTAAGATAGTTAAAGGTTAACTCATTCCTAAAGTTAAACTTAGTTGAGTTTAAGTTAGGATAACTTAAAATTATATCCATGTTTTTAACACTAATCAACAACAAAGTGTAAAGTATATACGACAAAGTTGAATAATGAGACCGACAATAAAATAAAGTGTGCATTCCATAAAATGTGTGTATAAACGACAAATTTGCACAATTGCAGATGTGTTGAGAATAGTAATGTGGAAAAGGAAAGAATAAAAGGTAAATAGAAGAATATAGACGAGTGAGGAGTGCAAGTTATTATGTCTTTTATAATGTCAAATGAAAATAAATATATAAATAAAATAAAGTTTAAATGGAGGGCCATAACAATGTATGACTTTTCCACTAACTTCAACTTTTGGGAGTTAATATTTCAAATCAAATCAAAGGCTAGATGCTGCTAGTGACTAAAGTGATCAAATAATCAACTAGTCCAACTAGTAAGATATTCATAATTTCTAATTTATTATTTTAATTAAATGGTAATATTTAATAGAAACAAAGGGATCAAATGATTAAGGTTTCATTTATATTATGATATATATGATGCTTATATATATTTATATATGTGTTTGGTTGCAAAAATTTAAAGTTTTTTAAAGTTCAAGAACTTGTGAAATAAGCTCTTCCCCATTCCTACTTTTAATTAGGGATTATATCGAGAGCTATAGAGTCTATTTAAAAAAAAAAATGTCCCAAAATTCATTTCACTAATGATGATTTTTACCTTCAAAATGTTTATTTTATGTGAAATATCAGATAATTAAGCTTAAAATTACCACTAAATTCATTTCACGAAAGTCGCCTTTTTAAATATTTAAAATAGTTTAAAATTAAAATGGGATTTAAATCAAATCCAAGATTAGAAACTTAAAAGAGGGAATTTTTGGTGCCTCACAAGTGCATGCCATGAATAGAATATTCCTACACACTTCCCACGAAGAAATAAAGGGTCACCAAAAGAAACTTACCACTAAATTCCTACCGTCAGTGTATTCTGTTGGGTGCGCTTCTTTTTCCAGTGACATTTTTTAAGCTTTAAAAATGAAATTCATTATACCCCCATTCCTAAGCCAGTTTCTATATGTATGCAGAGCCAAATTACCACCAGAAAACTAATGCAGAAAAACATGGCCAGGATGGTGTCACTAACCGGATTAGCAGCATATACAGTGCAAGGGCAATCACCGTTTCTCAAGGGATTGGTCATGGAAGTGCCGCCGGTGGCGGAGAAAATGGTGGTGGCGGTAGACCTCAAGCAGGAGGCGGAGGTGCGGCCGTAATCCCTGTTTATGCCGCTGGTTCGGCACAAGCACATCATCGCCAAGGTCGACCGCGCAATGCAGGAAATCACTATGAAAACAACATGGGGCTTCTGGTAGCTTCAGTTTTGGCCGCCATTGCTCATCTCCATTTAGTTTTCTGATATCAAGGCTGCTTCCGTACAAGAACATTGTTAATCTGTTGATTGAGGTGTGTGCTTCATCTTTCTTGTTGGATCTTTCTTTCCTGTTAAGGTCAAGAAAAGTGCATAATAATTGGCTTGCAAATGATTGTATATACAGAGTCAGAACCTCATAAACTCTTTTTTTGTTTGGTAGCTGTTGTCTTGTACAGAGACAGTAGCCTCTTAATTGCGTCAATTACATGATTTTCTGACTGGAAATGCAACCAAAATTCTACATTTGCTAGATATTGAAAGTGGATAGCCAAAAGAGATTCTGTCATGATCATTTTGGTTTATCCTACTTCAATTGATTAAGTGATGAAGACAAAAGCTACAGAAACAAAGAGTTTGAAAGAGAATTTTGATATGATGCATTAAATTAGTATCTTAATTCGTGGACATGACAGGAGAAAAACTATAGCGCTTCAAGCTATAGTCACCCTTCGATGTACATATATTAACAAGAACAGAGAGGCTGGGGGCAGTATTATGTATCCTAGCATGTAAGCCTATACTTTTGGTGGTTTAATATGTGTAACAATGAATTCCTAAAATATTATTTCCTCTCTATTTTGTGTAATAATTGAACACATGCACGAGGGAATGAGTGTTAAGAATGTATTTAAGAAATTTAAACTTCCCCTAACGTGTAAAAGCTTAAACTCGGGGTGATCTAATACCAATATTCTTCAAGAGAGAAGATTCGGCCTAAGATCCATCTTCTACATAGTCAAAATTCTTAAAGTATGGATGTGTATGTAGGCAAAATGAAAGAATTTCTGAACTACCGACTTATTTAGCGTTTTGGATGTGAGAGCTCGCGTGGATCTTTGACATCAGCAGCCCATCCAATTGATTCGTTAGCCTTCAAATTTTCAAACAATTCCTCTGTCTTCTATTCTTTCAATGTTTTTGAGTCTGCAATCAAAACATCAAAAGTTCAAAAAAGAAACGAATCGGACAATGATGAGATATGAGAAACGATTAGAAAGGAATCAGACGGGGCATATGTCGCGGACGAGATGAACCTGCTAAATTCAAAGACGGAAGTGCTTTGACATAGGAACAACTGCAGTCCGAGTATCCATACGCTACTGGTCCTGAGAACGAATGCGGTAAATTATCAAAAACAAAGAAATTCTCAAGGTCTTGTGCCTCAATACGATGATCGATACGAAATAAGAGATGCGAAAATTTGAATAAGAAATGCAAAACCTAAAACAAGAACTCGACCGGCTTCATCGACAGTCATCCATTTTACAAGGCCTCGAAGCTCATTTGGGGATTGGCTCCAGAGAAACATTGCCGGTTCCTCTCTCGGTTCTTCGGCGTTTCCTTTCGAATAGAAACGCCCGCAGTACAAGCGTCCATAAATCATCGGCTCCGAGATCGAACCGATTGCATACTGAAAAAGAAATAGATCCTTCAAATTCATATGAAAAAACTCGACAATCGGAAGGAAATCAGATGAAGTTCTCAAATTCATGTTCCGAAAAACAAAACATGATGATCATAACGAAATGAGAGACACGAAAATTCGAATAAGAAAATGCAAAACCTAAAACAAGGCCTCGACGTGCTCCATTGGTGCTGATCCACTGCACAAGGCCTTGAAGCGCATTTGAGGCATGGTTGTTGAGAAGACATTACTGATTTTTGTTCATCAAGCCAGTCAACCAAATCTCGCTTCCTCACTCTTCTTCGGTGTTTCGATGGCGTTTCCTTAGATCGTTGCTTCCCGCCATTGAAGCTATCAGCGGACTTCGTTTTTGTTCGCGGCAGATTAGTTTAAGATTTCTTGCAAGTAATTTATAAGTAATTAATAGGAGTATTTAGACATGTTTTAATCATATATATATAACTAATTTATTATATTTAAATATTTCAAATCAAAATCAGAATTAAATTTAATGTCATATATTTTATAAAAATAAAATAAAAACAATATGAATTAACTTGTTTTAAACTAATGTCATCTGAATTCATAAAATAAAATTTAACAAATTGTTAAAAACTCTCAAATTTAATTCTATTAAGTTAATATATAAATTATCATTCATAATTATATATACATATATTTATTTTAATTTTGCAATAGTCTTTTTAATAATTTATTCCTCAAATCTTAAAAATAAAATATAATTAATTTTACAAATAAATAATTCTACAAATCAGACTAAACCCACAAATATCTTTACTATAACATTTTATATTCCTATAAATTTGATGGTTTAAAATATTTATTAGATCACTGTACACATTTTCATGCTGGCAGAGGAATTAACAAAACTGATGCTTTTTTTTTTAGTAACTAGCATTATCCATTTAAAACGTTATAATTAATATATTATGAATTAATTTAGGGTAATAAATGAAATTAAATATACTTTCTCAATTTTTAATATGACTATAATTTGCAGCCATCGTGAAGAAATTAATATATACACATATATATAATACAGACGCGTGAAAAGACATTGCAGCCCGGCATCCCGCGTTATTATATGCGTGACATAACTCCTTTTATGTAGAAACATTGATTCAAAACGATTTTATAAAATGATACAGTAAGCTTGTACCTTTATAAAAGGGTCTTAAAATAATATAAAAATATATATTGAAAATAAATTAAAATAAAATAAATAAAATGTTAAAAGATTATGAATTTATAAGTGAGAATAAAATTATTATTGTATTATATAAAATAAAATAAAATAAAAAAACTAAATATGTATTTTAAACCATTAAGGAAAGTGCTATAAGATTTTTAAGAGAAACCATTCGCAGGTAATAATAATAATAATAATATCCCATTTTCGGAGTAATTCACAAATATTAAATAATTAATTATATATATATATATATATATATATATATATATATATTTTTTTTTTTTTTTTTTTTTTTTTTTTTTTTTTTTTTTTTTTTTTTTTTTTTTTTTTTTTTTTTTTTTTTTTTTTTTTTTTTTTTTTTTTTTTTTCAGTANTTTTGCTCCACGGTTTTAATCCATATCTACAAGAGTGGCTAAGCTGACTGAAGCCGAAGCTAAGAAAGCTTCAGGTATATTTCAAGGGCTCCCTTTATTATGAGTTTTTATTTATTTTATTTATTTATTTTTGTGTATTTAAATTCTGGTTTCAGAAATGGAAGGGGTAATTTCGGTATTTCCAAATAGAAAAAAACAACTCCACCCTACAAAGTCTTGGGACTTCATGGGTTTCTCCGAACAAGTCAAGAGAGTTCCGGCAGTGGAAAGTAACATCATTGTCGGAATATTCGACAGCGGAATTTGGCCGGAATCTCCTAGTTTTGACGACACGGGATACGGTCCGCCGCCAGCCAAGTGGATGGGCCGCTGTGAAGTCTCCGCCAATTTCTCTTGCAACAAGTAAGCTATATATATTAAATTTATTTATTAACTTAGGGTCTAAATGGGATATCTTATGTTTTTTTTTTTTTAAAGTAAAATTATTGGAGCTAGATCATATCGTAGTAATGGTAAATATTTAGAGAACGATATCAAAGGTCCAATAGACTCGGATGGCCATGGGACGCACACAGCATCGACAGTGGCTGGAGGGTTAGTTCGGCAAGCGAGTATGCTGGGTCTCGGCCTTGGCACAGCAAGGGGTGGAGTCCCATCCGCACGCATTGCTGCTTACAAAGTATGTTGGTCTGATGGCTGTACTGACGCTGATATTCTTGCCACATTTGACGATGCCATTGCTAATGGTGTTGATATCATTTCAGGCTCTCTTGGGAGTCGAGTGTGAGAGATTACTTCAATGACTCTATAGCCATTGGATCTTTCCATGCAATGAAGAAGGGAATCTTCATGACATTGGCCGTTGGAAATAACGGGCCGGAATTCACAACCATTGTAAACTTCTCGCCGTGGTCGTTGTCTGTGGCCGTCAGCACCACTGATCGAAAATTCGAAACTAAAGTTAAGCTCGGAGATGGAAGAGAATTGAACGTAAGAAAATTAATTAATTTTTTCACTCGTACAATAATTATGAAATTAAATGAAAAATATTTTTATTTGGTTTATGAAGGGAGTCAGCATCAATACATTTGACTTAAATGGAACACAAATTCCATTGGTTTACACGGGAGATATCTCTAAAGCTCCATTCGACTGATCGGTGTCGAGGTAAATTATGAATTTATTTTAGAGAGAAATTAAATAAATAATTTAGGGTAGAGATGAAATGACTAATTTGACCTTGGGAAAACAGAATGTGCTTCGAGAACACAGTGGACAAGGAGAGGGTAAAAGGTAAAATTGTAGTATGTGATTCGTTAGCCGTTCCCGGCGGAGTTGTGGCCGTAGAAGGCGCCGCCGGAATTATAATGCAAGACGAATCTCCACAAGACGATACCAATTCTTATCCATTGCCTGCTTCTCATCTTGGCCCAAAACCCGGCGCTCTCATTCTCTCTTACATCAACTCAACCAAAAGGTAAATCAATATTTAACCTTAATTCAGTTGTGTTTTACCCTAATTTACCTCGTAAGGTTAAATTCAACCAGTAATTTTAAAATACATATTTTTTTCTTAGTCCGTACATGTATTTATTTTATTTTTTATAATTAACTTTTTTTTTTTTTGTTACTTATTTTCGAATAATTTTAAACTAATTAAAATATATATTAAAATTAAGTTGTAAATCTTAATTTTAAAATCAATTCAAAAAATTTATAGTCATTTGAATGGAAAATTTTGTAATTATAATAATTGGATTATGTCCAAAAAAAAAAAAAAAAACCCAACTCACGAACACCTTAAGTCTCCTATCTGGGTTGTAATCGTTCTTGCAGTGTAGTTCAATGGATCCAACCACAGTTTGTCACAAAATAAAATTTACATCTTTTTAGAAATTATTTCATATTTTTTTTTTTATAACAACTTAAACTCACTTTCGGGGTTCCCGTTAAAGATTTAAAACGCGTCTGTTAGAAGAAGTTTTCACACTCTTATAAAGAATGCTCCGTTCTACTCTCTAACCAATATGGAATCTCACAATTTTCTTGCTAGGATAGAGCTCCAAAAAAAAATGGGCACAACTGAGCTATCGAGTATTAGATTACTAAAGAATCAAGTCGTTAATTACATACATGATGGTTTACAGGGTTCCAACAGCAAGTATATTGAAGAGCACAGAGAGAAAATATTTAAATAAATAAAATATTTTTTTCCGACATAATTATATATATATATATATATATATATTATTTTTTATTATGTATTCTCACAACTATAAGAAAAATTAATGGTTAATTTTTGAAAATATATATAGACATGGTAAATTTTAATTAAATATTTGAAAATAAATAAATAGATATTTTAAAATTTTAACATCTTAGCTTTATTAAAAAATTTAAATAAATAAACTGTAAATCAAAATATAAGTTCTAAAAGTTCATAATTCACATAGGATTAAGATTAAGTCGCATATGATTATCGTGTGAAATATTAATTTTTTTAATTAACGGATTTACCCGGATATATTAGATATTTCTAATAATTAGAATTTTACAAATGGAAACATTTAAGTTATTATTTAATATATTAATGCAGCATTTCCAATGAGCCATAAACGTAACCCAGACGGCGAGTTAGCATACGGCGCGGGCCACATAAACCCACTGGGCGCAGTCCATCCAGGCTTAATCTACAACGCTTTAGAGACCGACTACGTGAAGTTTCTATGCGGTCAAGGCTACTCCACGGAGTCGCTCCGGCGACTCTCCGACGACAATACTTCTTGTTCAGCCAACAATTCCGGCACAGTTTTGGAACTCAACTACCCATCCTTTGCGCTTTCCACAAACGCCTCAAACCCCATCAGCCAAGTTTTCAGAAGAAGGGTCACAAATGTCGGGTCGATCTCTGCGACGTCGTATAAAGCCGCCATAGTTAACCCATGGAGAATTCTTAAAATTACGGTGAAGCCCTCTGTTCTTTGGTTCAAGAGGTTGGGAGAGGAGCTAAGCTTTGAGGTTAGAATTGGAGGAAAAATTAGGAAAGGTATTGAATCGGCGGCTTTGGTGTGGGATGATGGTAAGCATAAAGTGAGGAGTCCTATAACCGTGTTTAATGCTAATCTTCACTCTTAGGCTTAATTAAGGTTCTCAATTATTAATTATAAGATTATTTCATTGCTTAATAATTGTTAAATTTGTTGGGCGAAAAGACGTATTTGACCCTTGTGTGTGTTGTGAATTCTTCTATTGAAGGTGCACATTTAAGGAAACCTTGAAATTCTCTCTCTCTCTCTCTCTCAAATTTGTGTGAGAGAGAGAATTTGACATGTAAATGAGAAGCAAATTGAATTTTTGACTTTTTTTTTTTTTTGACATGTATAAATTATATTCAGATTAACTCCGTTTAAAGAGTGGGTATATAGATGAATTGAAACTAGATTTAAATTAGAGCGATATTAAGATATTTTATTCTCAAAATTACTCTTATTCAAATGTAATCTCGATTCATTTATATATTCTTTTACTCAAATGTAAAAAATATAATACTAAAAAAATGTTGCAAATATAAATTTAATATAAATAATAAATATTTTTATCAATTAATGAGAAAAATCTAAAAAATACAATATCTAGGACTCGAGGACAGTTAAATTCAGTTAGGATGGAAAGGGGAGAGAGAATTAAATTGAGCATTAAATTGTCGAAACCTACAAATTAAATGCACACATGAAATCCCTCAACAGTTCCCATCTTCTTCCTTCTCCTTTAAAATCCCAAATTTTCTCTGCAAAATCCGCCATTGAAATCCCACCTTCAACCTCCAATGGCCAACAGCAGCAAGAAGAAGAACCTCATGAAGTTCCCTTCCATTTTCAAATCCAGAGCAGGACAGCCATGGCAAACCACCGCCACCGCTCTCCATTCTTCACTCTTCACCAACTCCTCCGAATCGCTCTCTTCAACTAACTCCACCGCGACGGAGATGGAGCTGACCGACGGCGAAGAATCACTCGAGACAGTGATCCGCGGCGCCAGATCGGAGAGGCTCTTCTTCGAACCGGACGACACGAGCTCGATCCTCGAGAAATCGAAGCCGATTGAGCCGATTGAACCCGAAGCGTTGTTGTTAGGGTTTAAAGAGAGCTTGATTGTGTCGATGGAGTCGGAGAATCCGTACGAGGATTTCCGGAAATCGATGGGGGAAATGGTGGAGAGCCATGGGGTTAAAGATTGGGATGGATTGGAGGAGCTCTTGGGATGGTATTTGAAGGCCAATTGGAAGAACACCCATCGCTTCATTTTTGGGGCTTTTGTGGATTTACTCATCGATGTTCTTCATGCTTCATCTTGTTCATCATTGAGTTCTAATTCAGATTCTAACTACTACACATGCACCGAATCTTCTTCTTCTTCTTCTTCTTCTTCTTCTTCTTCTTCTTCTTCTTCTTCTTGTGCATCGACTCTGAGTTCGCTGGATCGATCGTCCATCCCAAAGAAGCTTGATGAAGAAGATGATGATCATATCACAGAAACCGTGTAGAATTTCAGATTTCTTCCTCAGTTTTCTTCTTTTGGGGATTGTATGTATATATATTGTATTCTATACATAGTATTGTAGTTAATTAAGCCAAATTGGATTGTAAATGAAACTTGAAATGTCAACCAATTATGTATAATATTAGGTGCCAAATAGTGACCTATCTAGATTATTAAATTATATGATGCTATATTTTAATGTGCCATCCTTATATTTTTTTTTAATCTAAGTTTGTGGATGCTCGTATATGTATCATTCTTATATTTTAAAATATTTACGATAATAGTTCTAGTTTATAGGTTTAATGTTGGGATGGATCAATAATTTGACCTGAAGAAAGATTTAAGCTTATACTAAGCTAATATACATACCTATTTAACACATCAAAAGTTCTTTTTTTAAAAAACAAAATAAAATAAAGAAGCTATATACACAAGTTCAAGCCGAGTTTGTGTAGATTTAGTTTGACACCTAAATGTTGAAAGTGCTTCTAGAAACTCAACATTTTCTTTCTCTGAGAGCATGGTTTCTTACATTGAATGGGTGCATCAATTGATTTTATGAGTGCTCTTTAGACTGTAACTGCCCAAGGCCAATTGGTAGATATTGACTTCTATTCAAGGTTTTAAAACAAGTTTGCTAGGGAGAGGTTTCGTTACCCACTCCAACCGATGTGGGATCTCACAATCCACCTCCTTGAACGGCAAGCGTTCTCGTTGGCACACCATCGGGTGTCTAGCTCTGATGTCATCTGTGATGGCTCAAACCCATCACTAGTAGATATTGTCCACTTTAGCCCGTTACATATCGCCGTCAACCTCACAATTTTAAAATACCTATTGTTATGAGAGGTTTGCACACCCTTATAAGGAATGCTTTGTTCCTTTCTCCAACCGGCGTAGGATCTCACATCCTACCTTTAATGTTTTTAAAAATTCACACAACATTGAAAGTTTAAAATTTCATTAGACATAAAAACGTACCAGACAACGATCAACTACTTACATCATAGTCACAACAAAATTTAGAAAATACAAACTTGTAGTAGTAGTAGTAGTAATAATAATGTACTAACCTTTGTTCTCATTTCCATCGAGGCGATACACTGTAAATCTACATACTGAAAGAGAGAAGCTATACTGATTCAGTGTAATGGATGGGTTTGGTACAGTTCAATCCTTGCCAAATCTCATCATTGCATGAGTTGCTAACATCGCACATCTACGAGTCATTTCCAAAACTCGACCAACCATTGGTAACTTCACTGTTTCTCTATTCAAAAGTGGTTTCTTATTCCACCTGATGAACAGTTCCATATTCAATCATCAGATAGTAACAGAAGAAGATCGTTTGCATAATTTTAAAGCGAGTTGCTCAAATTTTCAAGGGTTACAGCACAATTGCAAACAAGAGAATGATCAAAAAGCAGATGCTCTTCAAGGGAACAAGTTAATTCAAAGAAATGAAAGGGTGATCGCCTAACATACCAGTCCTCATGACGAATTACTTTTCCTTCAAGAACATACAACTTGATGAGTGATTCCAAATCTATGTTTCTTCCCAGAAACTTGTAGTGTTGCTTATTATCGACTGTAATCTGTGTTCAAAGTTTTTAAGTTCTTGTCAAACTATAAAGATTAATAAATTGATATGAGAGGAACACAAAAGTGCTTGCACTAGATCGTGCACCTCGTGTTTTCCAGGGGAAATAAGTTTCTCTTTGACACTGTATTCCACAATTCTTGATTCACTAAAGACCTGAGGACAAAAAAGAATCATTACAACTGCAACAAAAAGGATCAAGATCCAGCAACACAAAAGGATACACTACTTAGAGAAATTTTCATTTCTCATTTTCTACTCACAAAAGATTCAGAACCTTTTGACAAGATCCACTGATATATTCATCGTGGGTCAAGGTTTATATATGGAAGTATCAGTCATTAATCAAAGGTTCATATAGGAAAGTGTCGACAATATTTCTTTGAATCAACATGAGTCGGACATGAAGACACATCCAAATTAGAATATAAACTTTGATTACTTATTTTATTCAAAAGTTTAGACATCACAAGAACCAGGAACAGACATGATACTATGATAGGAGTGGGACTATGAACTCATTCATATAATGAAAGTTGAAATTCAAGGCTTTCCTTATAGTGAGAATTTGGTGTCCAACATATGAGCATGTGTTTCTTTTGGTTCAGACTACAGTGTCTCTAATGTATCACTTTGATGCATTGAATAATGAACAGAAGTATTAAGATATGTTATCCGCATCTATTAATTTCCTAGTAACCGAGGCAAAATTTTGGATGAAAGGTTCATCTTATCTGATTTGATCATCGTATTCATATCAGCAATTCAACGCAGAGAAATATTCTCTCCTCCAGAACCGAAACAAAGTTGAGTGAACTTTCAATCGTAAACGTATATGTTATATGTCAAAATTAAATGAACCAATTGCGAAAAGTGGAAGTGATAAGAACCTTGGACAGAGAATAAAATGCCGATTTGATTTCCTTCACTCTGCAGAACCGATAAACAGAGAAACTTTTCAATAAACAATTATGAGTTACTACAAATGACACCTACTTGTAAGAAGAAAAAAAGACAAGCAACTCGTCGCCACTAATGATCTTTCAATTGCTTTTTCAAATATATGAATCATAAATCAACAAGTTTATCTTCTAAAATCCAATCCGACAGTGAGTACCCGTGAGCTCTCGTCAGTGGATCCTCGAATGAAGCATCGGCAGCGTAGATTTCGAAATCCCTAGGCGTTGCAGAAGATCCATAACTAGAAGGTAATTCCATTGTTCAAAGACGTTAACAACGAAACCAAACTACCGTTTCGAAGCAAAAACACACACAAAAAAGGTTAAAAAAACGAGAGAGAATCAAGAAGGAACTAACAGATTGAGAATATGAGGCATGATATCATCGGCAAACCGCTTCGTCGCTTTCGAATCGCATGCCTCCTTGCTGCTCGCTTCAATGATTGGATCCTCTGTGATTTCACCATCTCCCGGCATTTTTAGGAACAGCAACGAATCCTATTATAGAAGGATTTTCCAGATTCTTCCAGATAAAGTAAATAGAAGAGAACGATAAAATAAATATGCCATTGAGATGTGGAAGAAAGAACTTGATGATTACCGGAGCGAGTGTGGTTCTTCGAGAATGCTCCAATTTTCTCCGCAGCGAAGCAGAACCAGAATCCTGAAGAAGCTCCACGACTTCATTTTGAGTTGGTCTTCAATGGCGCGCAACGTGGCCACTCTTTTGGCCTTTCAAATTTGAACTCATACTTTTCAACTCTTTTATATAGAAAATAACCCATATATATATATATATGTATATGAATATACTTTTCTTTTTTTATCTAAAAGAAATTTATTCCCATATAATTCCTCATTTCCTATATATTAACTCAAAAAAAAAAATATAATAATAATAAACATATTTGTAATTTATCTTAATTCTTGACTTTATAAATTTTTTAATAATACATTTTTAAAAAAATACCCCTACTTTTAGTTTTAGATAGATAAGTTTCAAGTTAAAAGTATTTTAAAAATATCCTTATTTAGAAAGTTTAATTGTTTAAAAATACAAAATTTTAAAATTAGCATTAACACGCTTCATTTTTATAAAAATAATAATAAATTTTTTTTTTACCATTAATATAAGAACGAAAACTATCTATGATATCTCATAAATTATTTTTAAACTATTTAATGTTAGTTTTGAAATTTCATGAATATTTTTAAAACTGATATTAGGGTGAGAATATTTTTTAATTTTTTTTTTAAAAAGTTGTTGTTTTTTTTTTTTTTTTTTTTTTTAAGTTTTAAAAAACTCAAATATTAACCATTTCAAGGGTAGTTTTGAACTTTTAAAATCTAAGTGCAAAATTCAAGTAGATTCTTTTTTTAATTTAGCAAAAAATATATAAATAAATATCTATATATATACACACACAAAATAACCCCATGAAGGGGAAAAGGGACATTTTCGTTTACTTAATAGAGTTTATAATGCCTTAATGTAGGTTGAATGACAATAAATAATGAATTATAACTCTTATGTTAAATTATTCACACCCAAATCAATAAATCAAACAACTATTAATATTTATTAAATTTGATTCCATATTATAAGTGGTATTATTTTTAAGAAAAATTAAACTAATGATTCAAACTCCAACTAGAATTTATAACTTATAACTCATCTCATTCGTCCAAGATAACACATGAATTTTTTTTCGAGAACACTTCAATTATTAAGAGAGCTTAACCGTAGCCCACCAAAGCAATAGAAATCACCACACCACACGACATTGAATCTATTTTCTTCATAGAAATGCAACCCATGAAATAGTTTTTCGAGTTTAATGAGGGAATAGAGTAATTTGGACATCCGACTCTTTAATTCAAAAACTTTTATACTTCAAAGTTGAGTTATATTTAAATTGATTTGGGAATTTCAAATTAGTACACACGGCTATCTAAGCTTGATATAAATACATGAATGGCATCTTCACAGAAGAAAATGAAAAGAAAACTATAACTTCAGTGTGTTCCTATATATACATTGTAGAAAACTAATATTAAGCAAAAACTATCCAACCCATGAATAAGGGGAAAAAGGCAAAGAATCAAAACAGGGAAGGAACAAACTTTGCAAACCCAAGGATGCTAAAACTCACCATGCCAATCTTGATGCTACAGAAGAGACCGTCCGGGAAACTGCATACCTACCGCTTAGGTTCGCTCAAGTTCTTCCCCTCGAAAAACTCTCCGAGCATCCTTTCGAGATCTTCTGGCTGGTACCTGACATATTTTTGGGGATTCTTTCCAACATCAACTAGTGGCCTGTTACAACAAAAGCAGATGTTAAGCAAACGTGACGAAATATTGTTACGAGCAGTTCTATGTGCAAGCTCGCCTGCATATTACAAAATCGACAGAATGGCAGAGGACAATAACATGCTACAAGATTAAAACTACAACTAATTTCAAACATGCCATAAATATTTCAATAACATCTATGGGAGAGATGAGGGATACACACCCAAAACGTTTTAGGAAGGATCGGTATGCAGGAAGTAAGACTTCAGCAACCGAAAGTCGTAGGGACTCCCGCAGCTCAGTATCGGGAACTGCCCATTGAGATTGTCTTTGATGCAGTTCCTCAAACTGCATATTGAACGTCTTAAACCTGGTCGAATAATAATACTCCAATTACAATAAAAGTATTATAAAAGCCGAGTGAATTGATGACAGATTTAGTCACACAAAGCTATCAAGACAGTAACCTGTCTTTAATAAGCGCCCTAGAAACTCCGCTACTATTTCCTCCATCTATACCAGGTACGCTGCCACCGCCGGATGAAGTTAACCCTTGAACAGAGAGGCATTGCAAAATCTGCAAGTTACCGTTACCTCATCTTCAGTATGTAATAAGACAACAGGGTATAAGTAAACTGTCACGGCCCAAGCGCACTGGGCCGACCACTAGCAGATATTGTTCTTTTTGGGCTTTATCTCAAGGTTTTTAAAATGCATCTACGAAGGAGAGCTTTTCACACTCTTATAAAGAATGTTTCGTTCTCTTCCCAATCAAGGTAGGATCTCACATAAACTAAGCTTTAAAGAAAATTCGCAAACTTTGGACCGCAAAGACGATTGGTTTTAGTGGGTTTAGTTGCTTTGCTTCTTTAAGAAGTCTTTAGCTTGCAACGTTTTAATTATAGACAAAAAGTATGTGTTTTTAGTCATTACATAAATATTTGATCACCTTTGACCAAGCATTCCTTTTATACTGATTTGCATGTTGCTGTACGACCCTCCTATGTCTCTGAACCCAATCGTCCCCGAGCAAATCCTTGGCTTCGGATCTAAAAAGACAATCATTAAATATAAGTAACAAGTTTGCACAAGTAAACAAGTTCTGAAAATGGCACAATAAAGCATACCTGCGAACAGATCTAACTATATAGTGAATATTGTTCATGAGGAATAGGTGAGTCAAAGCAGGATCTCTGTAATGCTTAGATTTTCCGTCCAAATTAGATTGAAGAGCCTGCATAATTTGCATTGTGACAGTGGCCAGTTCTGAACTCGTTTGACCACTCTCCTCAAATTCTTGGAAAAGCTGCTTCAAGGTTGCTTGATAGCTGAAAATTTTTCAAGCGGAAATTTGTGGATCAACAAAAGCACAAGAAGAAATTGACTGCTCATCATTATGAATAAGATTAGACTCTCAAATCATGCATAAATAATCAAGCAATATGCATCACAATGTGAATTCCTAAATATACCCAGAAATTGGCATAAGATTTACTTACTCAAATAGAAATTTGACATAATTAATCACATAGCTTGTTAAAGGATGAACAGTTCCATCTAACACTGCAGTTTTTGTGGCATCTTTTTCAACAGCTTCCTCAAAATCACTAAATGTATCCTTAGCTGTCTGTGCAAGCCGTTTGGTCAATCCCGATGCAGATTCCTTGATCTCACTGCACGCTTTACCCTTGAAAATTGTCTCAATCTGAATGAGTTTAAAATGTCAATCAATAACTGGATACAAATATACAGTCAGTCATTGGAAAGATAAAATCTTAAAGACAAATATATAGTAAGCTAGTTGTTTGTGACCGTGCGCCGGTCTGGGCTAGTCATTGAAATTATAATATAGCAAAGAAAAAATTAGAAGGAAATAGCAAGGTAACAGCCATACCTCGGAGTGAAGCTCTCGCATTATTTCATACATATCCAAAAGTACAAACAACTTTTCTGGTGACCTCTTGCTTTTTGCAATCGCCTCCCCGAAACTAAATAGCACAGACACACTACTACCTGTAACCTCAGCAAATGATTGATCTTTAAGCGATTCAAGGCCTTCAAATATTTGATCACAAACTTTTCGTTCTCCAGCAAACAACAGTTTAACCTGTGATTAAGCATAATATTTATTTGGAAGCTACAAGAAAAACTCATTAAACATTAAATATTATGTGCTTACTGCAATACGCATAAAATGAATCCAGTTCCCAATTTTTGCCTCTAAAACCTCCCATGCCATCTTCTGGACATCTTCTTTGCTAAGTTTTTCAACTCCCAATTTCCGTAAGCTTTCTTCCATAACGACTGAACGGGTATCCCTGGGCAAAAGAAGATATAGAGATAAGTTTCTCTCTTGCATGAATTTTTTTCTTAGAGATGGCTGATAAAGTCATTTAGGGAAGATGTTTGGGTTGGGAATTTCTTTTCCGAGATTATGTTCCCAGATCTTAGTACTCTCATCGTCTCTTGAACCATACTATTTTTTCTTCAAGAAGAAATGTAAATGATGTAGAAATAGATAAGTTTCTTCAATTCTAATTGGGGTTTTTGTAAGCTCCGTCAGATATGGTTTGGCCTTCAGCACACCAATATAAGAATGAAGATGCAAAGGAACACACACACAAAAAAGAGTTAAGCCACATTTACAGTTACAAATAGTATTAGAAAAATGGAGCTTCATACCTGTAGACTTTTAAAATTTGTTGTTGATGACCGGCTTGAACCATTTGCAGTGATAATTCGTGCAACAGTGGCAGAACACGTGGTGGTATGAGAGTGGGAGGTGTGTAGACAGCATTCTCTAAGTTATTATCATGATGTGCAGAATGATGATTTGAGGAGGGATTCTTTCCACCTGAATCATGACCAGGAGATTCTGAAGATGGTTGCAACGATTTTGGCAGGCAATCGAAAAGACGTTCAGGCTCCACAGGTTTGCTGAATTGCCCCCAACAATATTAAGTACTTACACGCGAAAACATAAGCTCCAGCAATATGTGCTACCCATATAGAGAATAGCAATAGAAAATATAGAAAAAAAATTTAAGGGGAAAGTTAAACTTTTAGAACCCTTCATACCAAGTTCTCTATTCTCATTTCTGAATGCATACAAACTTCTGCTAAAGAATTTAAAATAATTTTGTAATTCATCAATTGCCTAAGATAACCCTCTAAATCCTCATGTGTCCCTTCCATGTATATTTCCTTCTTTTTTTTCACTTGTCCCATCCATGTATATTTCCTTCTTTTTTTTTCACTTGAAGATACATACTTTTTTCTAATTGTTTGCAACCAATGAAAACTAAAGATAGAAATCGATGGAATATCCTCCCCCTTAGGCATAGGGACTTCTCGTCCCCAAGGCCTTTCAAATATTTCTTTTGACATTTTGACATTTTGACATTTTTGACTATGTGAGTAACAGCCCAAGCCCAAACCCACTGTTAACAGATATTGTACTCTTTGGGCTTTCCCTTTCGGGCTTTCCCTCAAGGTTTTTAAAATGCGTCTGTTGGGGAGAGGTTTCCACACGCTTGTAAAAAATGTTTCGTTCTCCTCCCCAACTGATATGGGATCTCACAATGTGAACAAAAAGGTTTTAAAAAAATGATAGAAATCAATGTGTAAGATTTTGTTGTTTTTTTTTTTAATAATGAAAAGGCTAACAATCACACAGAAAAATGAAAGAGATTTGCAGTGGTTTTACAACTAACTTTTTGTTTGAACAGGAGAAATGCTTTGTATTTCCAAAAAAATAAAAATCATGAGTCAATATAAAGGATTCTTATCATGTATGCAGAATTCTACCAAAAAAAAATTAGAAAAATAGAAACCTGTACGAAGATAATAGCTGTCTGAACTCATCTTCCAGCTTTGAGATGGCCTTTGCAAGCAGATTATTTGCCTGGTTAAGCACTACCTCGTTGCCCTTAAAACCTTTATGGCCGCTAAAGAATTTGATATTGTTTCTTAATAGACCAATTGCCCCGAGATAACTTTCCAAATCCTCATGTGGCCCTCTAAGTATTTTCGTCTCTGCCTGCACACCAGAACAATAGTTAATAAGCAAGATGCAATACAGGTCATACCAAGACACATTCAGAGGTATGTCCAGATCTTCAACATTAAGACCTAAGTAAGAATTCTCTTGGACTATTACAATTTTTAACCAGAAATTGTTACTTACTAATTGAAAGAAATTCTAATGCATAAAAAAATGGTAAAGATTAATAACACCACTATTAATTGTTTCTCATACTCTTGCTTCTCAAATTCTGTTGCTAATAGTTCGTAAGTATAACATGCCTAAACAACAGAAAAATTCTAAACTACCATGCATGACCACCTGTGCACGCATCACTTGATTCACTCAGCTTAATCAAATTGTATATAAGGTGTCAAAAAAAGGCTAAATGAAGAGAAATTTCAATATAAAGGTTCAAAAACTTTCTTATTTTTTTTTCTGAGCAAGAAGACGTTTTTGAACCTGCCCAGGATTCAAGAACTATAAGGAGACAGGATTGTGGTTACATCCCAGGGGAACACAAAGGTAATTGGTAGGGAGAGCACCAATCTACACAGCTATCCCCTACCTGAGTATAACTTTTTTTTTACCATCAGCAGATTAAAGATAAATCCTCAACAAATCCCATAGACATTCACGACAAACTAACTTGATGAGGACGTCAAAAACCACAAGGAATCAAGATAAAAAATCAACTTGCTTAAACCCTAGTGGCAAAAATCTCATCCAGACTTACTATTAACCGAAACAACTGACCGAAGACGCACACACTATCTCCTCTTAATCCCTAACCCCATCCTCTGGAAACTTCATCAAGAAAGCCCCAATGGACGTATAATTCTCAAAACCAAAATGCACCCCTCATTGGTAGTTAGATCCTCATTCATAAAAAACTTTTTATAATCAATTTACATTTCAAATAATATTAACTTTTTATAATCATTTCAAATAATATAGTTTCGAATGGAAAAATAATTCATCATTAACAACATAACTCTTTTGCTTGTTTCTTGGGTATGATTCAAGGGTAACCCATGCATCTTGATTAAATTCTCTTATAAGATTTATTGAGTACAATAAGCGCCAAAATACACACACACACAAGCACACAATTTCTTGCCATCATATTATTTAGGGAGAAACTGAATTGAAAGATATAAAAGAGTTATAGGTTTGATGAATAGCAAATTCAGCAGCTTCGAACTTTTCTCATATCACATTGGACATTAGCTTTCTAGGTTTGATATTCAGTTATACTTGGCATCATTTCCCTCATCAACCCAACCAACCATAATTAGTACATTTGGTATCAGCTTCATATGGTTGTTGGTTACGGATTGAAGCTTTTTTTTTTTCTATAACAAAAATGGGTTAAAGATTTCTAAGCTCGTACAAAACTAAATGGATGCAAAAATAAGCTAGTGAACTGACAAACCCGAAGTATCAAAAAGACCAACCTGACGAGAGAGATCAAATTGTGCTAAAATAACCTCCGCAGACTTCAAAGTCTTGTCAATGTTCTCGTGAGCTTTACGAATAGAATTGGTTCTGATCTGCAAAATCCCCAAAATAATTAAAAACCTAAACAGTAAGAATCAATGACAGAACCAAAACACCACGAAAAATACGGGAAATAGACAAACCAATGATCGGGCAGACAGATTAAACTAAAACAACAACAACAGCAACAAAAAGCATAAATAGAAAAACCCGGATCTGAAGTTCGATTCTCAAGAGAATAAAGAAGAGAAACCAGAATGGCAAACAAAAACGAACGATTCTCGCATAGTAAAAAGAGAGTCAACCGATTCAATTGGTCGGAATCAACCAAGAGCCTCGTACAATTTCTCGACAAGGAAACATTTCGTCATCCTCCCCCAACCTTTTTCAAGAAAACAAAACAGAAAGCGAACCGTGTAGAAAGCAGACCTGAGTAGGGCGCATGGCGGTTTCGAGAGCAGAAAGACGGTGATCAAAGGAGCCGAGAATGGAGACGACGTTATCAGTAATAGTTTGGCTCTTCTGCAGTGATTCTCTCATCTTCGCCGCTCTTTCTCTCAGAAAATCATCACCCAAAGTTGCAGGCACCCCCATCGTCGGCTTCTCTCCGTCTTCCTCAGCTCCCCTGAGTTCTCCGAGATCACTGTAGCAGAGAGAGAGAGAGAGAGAGAGAGAGAGAATCAAATTTGATGGCCTTGAAAATGGAAGAAAATGAAGTTTGACATTAAGATGGTGAGCTTTAACAGGTTGTATTGTATCTGTGCAACCGAACCATCAGGCATTTCTTCTTACAGACAAAGTCTTCTAGACTTGCCTTGACCCTTTTCCATTGCTTTCCCTCGTTTATTATTGTTATTATTTATTTTTCCATTTTCTTTTTAATTTTGTGCCATGTCCTATAATTTCTATTACCAATTTTAATTTTATTTCAAAATATATATTACATCAGCAAACTTCCATAAATTTCGATTTATTTGGCAATTTTTTATTATCTTTTAATTACTAAATTTTAATACATTACACTTATTTTTTAAATTGTTTTCTAATAAATTTGAGGATAGTAAAAAAAAAATATATTTGAATAAATTCATCATTTAAATATTTTTCTGAGCTTGTTAACTCCAAACTTTCAATTTGATTGCAATTTTAGTTTTAAAAATTTCAATTTTACCTTTTTAATAAGTTATTTTTTAAATTATTATTAAATAAATTGTCTTATTCCTTCCATAAATTATAATACATATGGATGATATGCAATCAATAAAATTAAAAAGATATCCATATTAGAGCTTTTTCTTTATTTATAAATTTTGATAAAGTATTACCTTCATTAATTTATATACTTGGAAAAGTTAATTAATTTATGAGAAAAATTTACGGCTTTTTGTTAAAATTAGTGGAAACTATGGTAACATTTATTAAATTTTATGTCTAAATTAATATAAATAATATTTTACACAAAAAATTGAAAAAGAATTATGAAATATTACAGCGGAAAAAGAAAAATCTAGCGCAAAGAATAAATGAACGAGCTTTTCTGATCGTCATCCATGGAAGCTCCTCCCGAAGGTTACCGCCAAAACGTTGCCATTTGCCTCTTAAATTCTTCCAAAAACCTCATTCTCCAAACCTCTCTCTCTCCACTTCTCCACTTTATTGTCTCTCTCTCTCGATATTGAAAGTATTCTAGAGAGAGAGAGATTCGTTATTGGTCAAATACGGCTCGTCTACTAAACTCTCTGGTAGTTTAAAGTAGCACACAATCCAAAACTCGTTATCTCTAACTTAGCACAGAGGGCATTGGTCTGGAATTATATGAAAATTAGTAGACCAGAATACTCAAACATCTCATATCACAGCAAACCATAAATATAAACTAATACATCATGCGTTCTAATCATTAACTTCTAACATGTTCACATCTCATGGATGCATTCACAATTATTGATATTTAACTTAAACCATTTACATATACAACATTTTATTTATCTCTTAATCACACGGTCACACGCTTTGCTTGAATTTACTTGAATATAACAAGTTAAATTTGTATAGGAACTTTGTTATGTTACTTAATTGATCAATAACTCATTCTCTTTCAATAACTCATAATACGGTGACTTTAGACTTATATTTAATAACTTCAAAGGTTAGTATAGGCCAATATTAAATAAATAAATAAAAACATGTCAAAATGAGTCAGAAGATGAAAAATATTCAAATTCGAAGACAAAAAATTAAGAACCTGAATATAAAGGAGAAACAAGTTTTATTTGGAAAAGAAATCAACATTTTTTATACACGGTACATCAAACAGATTATTCATAATGTAACAGTCATCATCAACCCTCTAGTTTAAATAAGCATTTCTTAGGCTTTTTTGTTCTCATCGTAATTATTTTAAACTAAAAGTAGGAGGGCTTGTTCAGATGTATAATTAAAGTTTTTTACCAAGGGAAAGTTGCACCACAACGGGCTGACTTGGGAGAAGAGAAGAAAATGCTTAACTTCCTCATAGCTTTGAAGATAAGCGGCTCAAGCAAGCTTCGATTGATCCATGCGGTTCATCTGTTGGCACATACACATCATGCTCAAACTGCACCACAAAAATAACACCACTCATTTCTTTTCGATGTCTACAGTAAAAAGTTTACTAGTTTAGCTAGCATGTCCAACACACGAACACTCGGCCACGGCAACACTTGTTGGATGATTGTTAGCACAATGGATGTGCTAGACACTAGTTTGCATATAGGTTAACAAATAACAAACTACACTTAGACTTCGAATAAATCTTGAGAACAAAATACATCAAACTCATTTTTAAGCAGGTAAATGCATAGCTTATAGACTTCAATTTTTCTTCTTCTATAGATATAATATATATTATAACAAATGGGTCCTTCATGTGTTCGTGTCATGTCATATTCGTGTCTAATATCCATATTCATATCGGTGCTTTCTAGGTAAAATGTCTCTACTCAGAGTAATAACTGGTAATTGACGCATGCAAGACATGAGATTATGTTTCAGATGGCAAGTTCACTATATATGTTGGCCTGATGGTTGCAGAGTTGCAAAGGGATTACCAGACAGCAGCCTAAACCTCTTCAATAAATACGGAAAAGGAAAAGCTAAGCTCTATAAGCAGACTCTTACCTTAACGATACTCCGATTATCTTTTGTTGATATGTTGGCAGGTAAGAAGTGGAGATTTGGCATTTTCAGCCTCACTGATGATATAACATGGAACCTGAAATAGTGGAAATCCAAAAATCATTTTTAGAGAGATTAGAACATTTGTGGAGGTTACTGTACTTGGGCATTCCGGTGTGTGCATGTGCAAGTGGGAGAATGAGAGAAGACCTGCTGAGGACATTCTTTGCCATTTCATGAAGTGTGTATTGAACAGATGGGCTATAAACTCCCTCTTTTGGAGGACCAAAGAAGGTGTCAGCTAACAGTTTTTTCACATCAAGGTATGTTTCCGTGAAGTAAAACTGCTTTTTAGGGATGCTATAGAGAGAATCAAATGAATACCTGCATCGAAGTATATAAATTTTGTTTGTGAAACCAAACAAAAACAAAAATACTAAGAATTTATTGTTCTTTTATCTCTACAATAATAAAGCAGAAAAACCAGAAGCAATTTGAGATTTGTATTATTTCTCAGTCAAAAGTCCGATCAATATAGAAAATATACCTCCATGAAGCAGACATCTCGGTCGCCAATATCCTCTCTCGCGTCTCAGGAAGAGCTGTGTACTTATCCCTATGAAATCTCTCAAATCCCGACTGCTCACGTGATGAAGTTTAGAGAGAGAATCAGTAGAAACATAAGATATCTAAGCTTGCATCTACAAGTAGCAGGCTTCCTGAGATTATTGTCTGCTATGTATTCTACAAGTTGATCAAATGCCAACTCTTCATTAAAAGGACGTGTTACCCCAGGATACACCATCCTCCTCGAGTTAGATCAAAGATAATCATGAAAGCTAAGTAATTTAAATTAAATGGCTTTCATATTGTAAACTCAAAATCAGAAAGATTAAAGCTCGTGAAGAATTCAGGATATATCAAATTCCGACACTTGATATTTCTCAAATTATTTGCTCATAATGCCTGAACCGCAAGGAGTATCTCCAACTATATATGGACACTACTGCATGCCCTTGGATAATTTCAGGGTACTTCTCTTGAAGATTGAACAGATATGGATATGAACAATGAAGGGTGGATTTTGGGTTTCGAAATATTTAATGCTATAAAGAATAAAGAGAAAATTATGCAAAACAATTATTCAAATGAGGTAGACTATGCAGACGTGCATTAATTTACTAAAATGAGAAAACAGTAAACATGAATAACTTAAGCTTGCATGAAAAAGATTGTGGAGATCTATTGTATTTAGCATCGAAAAATTCATAAACAAAGAACTTTGTGACAGGTATATAAATACTTGGCCGTAAAATGGAAAAAGAGAAAAGTAGTTCAAATGGGTTTTGAATATGTATATAAAAGAGCAGCCTTACTTGAACGCACATGATTTGTTGTATAGGTTGTACAAATGTGTCCTTGAATTCTAAAAATATGTATCTAGAAGAGTAGACTTACTTGAGTTGTCTTCAGCAAAGATAGTCCCTCTATACCAGAGCTCACTTGTAAAACACCCGACTTCTTAAATATCACCTCGGTAGTGTGCTTTTCAGATCCAAGTTTGAAGCCTTCAATCAAAAATAAAAATTAAAGAAAAAAAAAAAGATGAAAGAAAGAACTCTGGAAACAAGTGACTATTATTTAGATTCGAAGAAATACCCACATGCTCAATTCTGTTACAATAAACTAAATACATGGTTTATCATAATATGTTCATTAAAGCAAGAGGTGCAAAGAAAATTTTACTGGAACAAGCCATCTGCCCCCCATAAAAAAAATATAAGATACAAAATTTCAATTCTAAGTTATTTCTTAGAGGTACATAATTTAAAAATTAGGACTGTAAGACCAAAGAGGAAAGGATGTAAAAATTTTTGCACTCTCATAAAAACTAAAATCTATGGTTGTATATATAATACTCTTTGATATCCCTTGAATCAAATAATCTATAGTTAGGCCGAACATAAAAATTTCAAATAATAAAATTTTTCTTGTTGACTTCACCGCCAGAAGACTCTCATCAAGGATCCAAATCCTTTTTATCATCATGAGAGGAGGCAAGAGAAGAACTCACTTGAAAAGGGGCGCAACAACTAAAGTTCACTGAGTTCACAATCATTTAAACTCCTTGACAAGGAAGATAATTTTAAGTTCTTTAAACTAAATATTTCGACATCGAAAAGATTGAATGTAATGATAAAAGTTCGTTTTCAGAAAAGAGGTTTCTACAGTTCATCTATAATAACTAAGAATCATTTATTGGTCAGGCTTTACAATGATGAACAGCTAACCATGGTTGTGTGGTTGACCATTGACAGATACACGCTCCCATGACTTTTCTGCAATCTTCACTATCGTGGTAGTAACCTGTAAAATGAATTACACATATTGGAGAACATCTCTGGATTTATTAACTTTTAGCACTGACTGATAAAAAAATATACCAAAGGATGTGCACCATGTACCAAAGGATGTGCACCATGTACCAAAGGATGTGCCAAAGAATGTATTAACTTTTAGCACCGTCTAATAAAAAATATACCAAAGGATGTGCCAAAGAATGTATTAACTTTTAGCACCGTCTAATAAAAAATATACCAAAGGATGTGCCAAAGAATGTAT